AGAAACATCGATGAGAGAGAAACATCGATCAGCTGCCTCCTGCACATCTCCCACTGGGGATGTGCCCGCAACCCAGGTACATGCCCTTGACCGGAATCGAACCTGGGACCTTTCAGTCCGCAGGCCGGCGCTCTATCCACTGAGCCAAACCGGTTTCGGCTTAACAGTTTTTTATTCTGTCATTTCAGTTATGCTTTATACACATCTGTTAACTTGTGCACCAAGCTTAGGAATACTTTCGAAGTTATGTGGTTCACATTATTCCTACCTCTTTTCCAGTTCTTACAAAATCAAGATACAAAAAATGAAAAAAAGTCTCACAAACATTTCATCATAGTTATGTAAGGCAGGAGTCACAACTCAAACCCACTGAGTAGGTCATCCCTTCCCTACCTCAGGGAACAGGGAATGGTAGACTGAGGCACACTGGCGTGTGCATTTGTGTGTGTATGTGTGTGTGTGTAAAGGCAGCCCTGCACAGGTTCTGTCCACTACTGTGTGGGAATACAGACTTAGTACTGCCAGATCTTGATTTTAAAAAAGCAAAAAAACTGGAAATTGAGGGTACTGACATGAAATCTCCCAATTTTTCAATTACTTTCAACTAATTAAAAATTTTTTTGAGTCCTGCGTGGTGTGGCTCAGTTGATTGAACATTGTCCTGTGCAACAAAAGGTCACCAGTTTGATTCCCTGTCAGAGCATATGCTCAGGTTGTGGGTTCAGCCCCTGGTCAGGGTGCACATGGGAGGCAACCGATTGATGTTTCTCTCCCTCTCCCTCTTGCTCTCTGGACCTTCCTCTCTCTCTAAAAAATCAATTAAAAACATGCTAAAAAAAAAACCCCTGACTAGTTTGGCTCAGTGGATAGAGCACTGGCCTGCGGACTGAAGGGTCCCGGGTTCGATTCCGGTCAAGGGCATGTACCTGGGTTGCGGGCACATCCCCAGTAGGGGCTGTGCAGGAGGCAGCTGATCGATGTTTCTAACTCTCTATCTCTCTCCCTTCCTCTCTGTAAAAAATCAATAAAATATATTTTTTTGAAAAATGCTAAAAAAAGTTTTTTGAAATCTTTCATTCCAAACAAAATACATGTGAGCCAAACCTGTACCAGATCATCCACCACCTCTAAAGTATGGAGTTGGTGGTTTAATTTACACCTGCTTAATTCCTTTCACTTACAATCTGCTTGCCGCCAACTGAGGTAGTCCTTTAAGGTCTGGTTGTTAGGATACACCACAACTCTTCCATCAAAGCCTGGGGGATACAGAAGGGGCTGGTCTTCAAAGTAATCCCGCCAATAAAACACGTAGCTGGAGGCGAACTGGGAGGCCACATGAGTCATGAACTTACTTCCAAGTGTAAGGCACGGTGGGTGGAGCAAGAAAGAGAAAAGACATGTCGTTAATTCAACACTCTGATAGGGCCTGCGGGTGTAACAGAGAGATTACACAAACTGGCCAGCAAACCTAGAGATAAAATATGTTGGGACAAGAAAAACTATTTTAATATTTCAGTTACATATTTGAAATGTAGCCTGCCTCTCCTTCTAGTCCTTTAAGTAATTTACTAATACCAACTTTTTTTTCTGTAAGATGTAATGTGAATTTATGGTTCAAGAGGTGTTTTTTTAAGTCTTGAAAGGAGAGGAACCATTGTTTTAAAAACATGCCAATTTATTATATGATTTGTTTCCTGTAAGAGTATCAAAATACTCAAATATGAGATTTGTCTATTTTGTACTGAAATTCTCCTTCATTAATGGTTTAAGCAATACTGCAATGCCTGTATAAGTGTCTGTCACTGACTAAAGCCAGCCTATGAATCATTAATATTATATTCCATGGTCTATTTTTCTAGTCTTAAATGTTCAACGCCAACTCAGTATAGAGCAGTGGTTCTCAACCTTCCTAATGCTGTGACCCTTTAATACAGTTCCTCATGTTGTGGTGACCCCCAACCATAAAATTATTTTCGTTGCTACTTCATAACTAATTTTGCTACTGTTATGAATCATAATGTAAATATCTGATATGCAGGATGTATTTTCATTGTTACAAATTGAACATAATTAAAGCATAGTGATTAATCACAAAAACAATATGTAATTATATAGGTGTTTTCCGATGGTCTTAGGTGACCCCTGTGAAAGGGTCGTTCGACCCCCAAAGGGGTCTCGACCCACAGGTTGAGAACCGCTGGTCTAGAGGATAAAGTGATGGGGAATGGAGTGGAAAGAATCAGATGAAGAGGGATATGGAATGCTCAGATATCCGATGAAGTACAACAGTCCAAACAGAAATATACAAACATTCTGCAATTGCAAATACTGCAGACATATTGTGGTCTGCGAGTCTATGTTTAAGAAAAACAGAAACCAGATGCTGATAAGAAATGGTCTGATGGAGCTGGGCTATGGAATTACCTGGCTCTTCTTTTAAACCAATTGCTTTTCCGCTTGAACACAAAGCTGTACTCATCACTCTGTCCATATGCAATCACAATATCCTCCAGTTCTTCCATTACAGTCTGGGCACATTTGGTCATTAGGTGGAGAGCACGGATGTCATTAGGTTTCGCAAAGTTGTGCTTCTCAGAAAACCTTCATAAAAGAAAGAGAAGAGGGAAAGGGACATGAATATAAGAGAGCTTGTTATTAACACTAAGGATCAAAGAGGCTGTTCAAAGAGGAAGGTACTGAAATAGTACTGTGAGTCCAAACATTCCACTAGCCACAACCTAATCAATTCTCTTAAGATTTCAGGTTTTTCTTGTCCTGAGCAACAGAAAAAAGGGGACATAACTGCTAAGCCTCAATTCCCTTTTCTATAAAACTAGGGGCCAAGTGCACAAAATTCAAGAATGGGTAGGGTCCCTAGGCCTGGCTGGCGATCATGGCCGATCTGTGGGGCAACTGGTGGGTGATCAGGGTCCCCGCTGGCACCCGCCTTGCCCGCTCGCCAGCCCTGCCTCCGCCGCCGCCTGTCGCCTCCCTCTATGGGGCAACCGGCAGGGTGTTTTCCCCCCCCCCCCCCATGGCACCTGCCTTGGCTGGCCTGGGGCCTGGGGGCAGCTCCTGTGTTGAGTGTCTGTCCGGTGGTGGTCCGTGCACATCATAGCAACCAGTAGTTCCACCAGTTGTTCTGCCTTTGGTCGACTTGCTTATTAGGCTTTTATTATATAGGATGGGGATATCTTTACTTAATAGAATTGTCCTGACGACTAGGGGAAGATAACAAATGTAATTATGCCTGGCTCCCTAGAAGTGTTCAATAAATGTTAGTTATAATAATCATTATTAAAATAGTACTTTAAAAAGTTGACTTGTTATATTTCTGCCTTTTTTCTGACTTTATTTCCTCCTGAGCCCAGACCATATGGCCTGATACTGACAGTGAAAGAACATACTGTAAGAGTTGCCCACAGCAAGGCCTCAATGGGCCTCAGAACAGTCAGCACTCTTAACAAAATAGCTGGGCAATTGGCTGAAGAGCTAAAGTACTGTGCCCGAGAGTGACTTTTTTCCACAAGGTCCTTACGAACAGGTCTATGCTCGCATAAAACCCAGCCCGGCTTCCAATCCGGGAGCACCCAGTCCCATTGAACTACCCAGAGAGCTTGCTTCCAAGCTCGCGTTAGCCCGCACATAGAACGATGCTCAAAGCCGCGAGCTCATTGGCTGCCGCGTTACCTCGGTAACAATGAGCAGGCGCCCGCGATCGCTGTAGGATTTACCCGGAAGCGCCGACGGGCCCGCGGCCCAGAGCTTGAGCTCACTCACCGATGGAAATTCCTGCCGTCCAGCCGCACCACCACCCAGCAGTGGGGCAGGCAGGTGTCGTCAGTCTCGAAGTCCCGCACGTACTCGAACTTGCTCTTTGCCATGGTCACCCCCAATTTCAGGCACCGTTTCAGAGTGACGGAAGTGGAAGCCAGGCAATCGCGAACCTTCACGTTACAAGAGACCCACATTCCCGCCTCCACCCCGCCACACGGAGGGTGAAAAACCGGAGAGCCCCGCCCCGGAAGTCCCATGTCTTTTTGTGTGTGGCCGCTCTAGCCCTAGCGGAGGTCGGCATCTTTCTCGCCTCTCCTTGTAGTCCTCAAACCACTTCCGGGCCTGGAAGGAGGGTTTCAGCCTTCCCTTTGCGAGACCCAGTGTGGCTGGCTTTTCTCCCATCCTACAGCAAATCACTCTGACGAAGTTTATAAAAATTTCCATCTAAGTTTAAAGTTTTCTGATTTTTTTTCTTTCTAAATAGTATTTATTTATTTGTTGTACAATATGTAAAATATAGAGAAAAATATAATTAAAAAATTAATACTTTCTATCTTCCCTCCCCATGGCAAAGTGTGGAAATTCCTTCCAGTCTATTTTCTCTTTGTTTATACAGGGAACACACAAAATTGTAATTAAAAATAGTGACAATGAGCCCTGACCGGTTTGGCTCAGTTGATAGAGCATCAGCCTGCGGACTGAAGGGTCCCAGGTTCGATTCCAGTCAAGGGCATGTACCTTGGTTGCGGGCACATCCCCATTGGAGGGTGTGCAGGAGGCAGCTGGTCGATGTTTCTTTCTCATCGATGTTTCTAACTATCGCTCTCCCTTCCTCTCTGTAAAAAAATCAATAAAATATATATTTTTTAAAAATTAAAAACATGATCAAAGATCTACTGAGTATTAGAAATGACCAGTTGTAAATAAAGTCAGAATTGGGTGAGGAAAAAAAAAAAGAAATGACCAGGCACTTCAAAAAAGAATCCAGTAGAACTTACAAAAATGCAAACTATAATAATCAAACTGTAAAACTCAAGAGCAACTGACACATGGGAAAAGAGAAATACTACACAGAAAATAGAGCTAAAGAAATGGCAGCAAATAGAGAAGCTAGGAAGGAGGAAGCCCCGCAAGGCCAATCCCAGAACAAGGGAAGCACAAAACACAAAATCGGCCCAGGTCATGGCCAACTTCGAACTGCACCAGGGGGAGACTAACACCAGGAGCCAGGGGAGAGGACAGCTGGCACCCCACAACGAGGTGTGGGGTTTGGTTGGTGACCACCTCAGGAGAGCCAGAGTTGAGGAGTCAGGTAAAGCTAACTACCTGCAAGGACAAACATCAATTCTTTTCAGGAAAAGACATCAGAGTCCAGAGTCCACAATGTATCTTCCGCAATGTCCAATGTACAATCGAATATTTAACTAGCAAGGCCACATGAGGTGAGCAGAGTAAGGCACTTGTTTGGGGCGCAAATTTAAGGAGTGCCAAAATGCTCAGTAATCAAGATTGCAAATAATACTGCAATGCAAAAAAAACATTTTTTTAACCCTCATTCGAGGATATTTTTCCACTGATATTTACAGAGAGAAAAAGGAGGGAGAGAGACACAGAGAGAGAAACATCAATTTGAGAGAGACACATTGCTTGGCTGTCTCCTGCATGCAACCGAGATAAATGCCCTTGACTTGTACTCGAACCTGGGATCCTTCAGTCCGTAGGCCAACACTCTATCCGCTGAGCCAAACCGCTAGTGCTGCAATGCAAAATTTTAAAAAATCAAATCTATTGCAAGGAACTTCACAATTAGCAATATATCAACATTTTAGATAAAGACGGGACAGTCACAGTGCCATGCCAAGACATAATGCTGCCCTCAGCAAAAGGAAAATCAGTAATTGTGATTGAATCCATTAAAATGGGACGGACAGTCATAAACGACAGGGCATGCATATACACGTGCCAGGAAACATGCTTTCCAGTTTTCTGTTGAAACAACTGTTTCCCCCTAAACTTTGTTTATCAAAAGCCAGCCCCATGGCTTGTTCGTCTTTACAGCCATATGGGCTGGCACCAACTCGGGACACAGTGAGTGCTCAGTGTAAACGTGGAAAGTGAGTGATTCCCAAAGGTGCCCCAACCCCCCAATCGGCTGTACCCTGAGTGTGACTAGGGGTGGCATCGCAACTTCCCAATCTGCCCTGCTCTGTGCATGACGGGACAGCGCCCCAATTCCCCAATTGGCCCTGCTCTGAGCCCGACCAGGGGCTGCACCTAGGGATTGGGCCTGCCCTCTGCCACCCGGGAGCAGGCCTAAGCCAGCAGGTCATTATCTCCTGGGGGTCCCAGACTGTGAGAGGGCACAGGATGGGCTGAGGGACCCCCTCCTTCCCCCCAAGTGCACAAATTTTTGTGCACCGGGCCTCTAGTACAATATAAAAGGATATACTAGTATGGTGAAAAGTCTCTTGCTAATTCCTAACTCCCTACTTTTAGGCAATTACTTTTACCAGTTTCTTGTATATCCATCCAGGGAAAGATATAGATAGATGATCTAGATGAGTATATATTATATATAAATAAAATTTATAATAATAAAAGCATAATATGCTAATTAGACCAGACAGCCAAATGACCTTCCGGACATCCTTCCGGA